TTTTTATTTTGCAGGTGGTGGTGGCTTTTATAGCCACCATGGTGCACGTTATGGACCGGTCTTAGAGGGGTTTTCTCGGTGAGTCACCGAACTATGTGGTGACTCACCATATAACAATTATCATGGATGGTCGGCGAGAGATTCTGGAGGCTTCGTCGAGGCGTCACAGCTGGTTTGGAGTCACCTGGCATAGATCGTTGGCAACGAGCGCCGCCGCCGCCGCGTGTCCTTAGGGTATCATAACCCTAGGGTTTCTTGTTGGAGAGCTTTGGACCGTTGGATCTTGCCAGATCCAACGTGGAAATCGTTGGCGTTGGCTGAGATGATGGAAACCCTAGAAGCGTTCTGCTGGGCCTGGTCGGGTTGGGTTCCGGTCTGTTTGTAAACTAGGTTGGGTTTATTTATAATTGGGCTCCAGGTTTTGGGCCATGTAATATTATTTAAATAATAAATAATAATAATGTATAATAATAAATAAAAATAAAATAAAAATAAAAGTAAACTGAAAAATTAGTGTCTACAAGTATTATTAATAGTTCCTGGTTCCTTGGTGCCAGCAGATTAGATCACCAGCCAGATAAATATAGGGTGGTACATTAAACGTTGCGTAGGCATATTTGTAACACATTGAAGAGAACATGGAACTTGAATTAGTGTCATCGTGGGCTTTTGTAAATTGAGCCAATATTTGTTGATGCTTTATAGCACAAATTTATGCTTTGCCGTGAAGTTTAAATTGCCCATCTTTTCATATAGTAAAAATAATGATGAGCCAAGTGATGGTGTGGGACAAAGTGAGAGTGGTGGCAGAAATAGACCAAAATAACATCATTCAAAACTAGAATGGCTTAATGTAGAAATGACCCATGCGTTAAGAAATGCACTACATATTTAAAATCCAAACAGAAGTTTATAGCACAAATTTATGCTTTGACGTTGAAGTTTAAATTGCCCATCTTTTCATAATAATAAAACAATGAGAGCCAAGTGATGGTGTGGGACAAAGTGAGAGTGGTGGCAGAAATAGGACCAAAATAACATCATTCAAAACTAGAATGGCTTAATGTAGAATGACCCATGCGTTAAGAAATGCACTACATATTTAAAATCCAAACAGAAGTTAAAAGGGAGCCCACCCTTTTTCTTTTACCAGGCTAACACGAATGGATCTGGGTTCTTTGGTCGGTGTTTTTTTGTTCCCCCCATTTCGTGTTTTGTGTGTGATTTTATAATGTTTTACAAAGCCTATTTTTAGGTGTTTAAATACTTGTAAAACACCGATGTTGTGGTTCGTTAGTGATGCTCGCGAGATCCCTTCGCCAGACGGTTTGGGATTGAGGCGTGTAGCCGTGAAGATCGATGGTGGGTTGTTGCGGCGCGGTGTTTGTGAGAAAAGATGGAAGCTCGAGTTGTTTGCATTTAGTCTTTAGACCTGTAATCAACAAAAAAATATATTAGTATAATGTATATATAAATATATAAGACAAATATACATTATATGTGATGCATAGAGCTGGGTATATGGGCTAAAGCCAGCGGCTACCCGTTTAACCCGCGGTCCGTACAGGCTTCGGGCCTAAAAAATTAAAGCTCGTTTAAATTACGGGCTTTTTAGCCCGGATCGTTAAACCCGCGGGTTTAATGGGTATAATCGCGGATAGCCCACAATAGCCCGCTTAATTTAAAATTTATAAAATTTTAAAGAAAATAAACTTAAAGAATTTTATAGAAAAAGAAAATAAATTACCTATAAATATGATGTTACTTATAACCATTGTAGTTCTTAAATTTATTAGGGTGTTTGTCATAATTCTACCGATGTTTGATTTTTTTTATTCACAATGTATCAAATTATTCTTCATTTTAAAAAATAAAATTAAAAGATTTATATAGTATTTTAGTCTTATAAAATTTACTCTTATACTGTAATTATTTTATTTTATATTTTCATATTATGTTTTAGTCTTTTTCTAAAGTATCCATAAAATACAATTATTATGACCACTTGACAACTTTCTTATTAGATTTGTATAATGTTTGACTTTGTTGAATTTTTATATTTGAATTTCTGCTTGCATACACTTTTATGCCTTCATATTATAGCCTTGAATAATTGTGTTTTATAAAAATATAATGTGATTATTGTTTTATTTGTTTTTCAATTTGGTGATATAAGTGAATATTATTTTTTTAATTTGAGTTTAATTAATTATATTGTTATATATATTAATGATTAAAAAATTAAAAAAATGTTATTTTATAATTATTTCCGACTATTTAAAATAAAATTTAAATATTATTTATTATTTTGACGGTGTTACATTCTTTTATGATTGCAAAGCATCTTTCACTTTTAAGATTGTCAATTTGTTATCCGTCTGCTAGCTTGCTTGCTTTATCTACATATATATATAGATTCTATTTTAATGGATGGTATGCTTGCCATTTCATTTTATGCACAATGCTTTTGTTTTTTGAATTTTGAATGCATTTGTTAAGTTGATTCTGGATAAAGATTTATCCGATCGTCTCATCTTATTTATATTAGGTTCAATGTACAATAATTTCAACCATATCTGAAGTAGTTCCAATACCAAATGTCAAGGAATTTAGCAGCAATATTAGGAGGTGTTGCGGGAGTCGTGGCATTGGTGGTGATAGTTGGCTTGTTTATACGGTTCTATCTATTCACAAAAGGGTGTTTCGAGAACATCTGAGACTAGATCTTCGGATCTATCTGTTCAAGGTAACTTTCATGCCATGCATTTTTTAAACGGGCCACGGGTAAGCCCGTTTAGCCCGCGGGTTAAATGGACTGGCCGCGGGCCTTAGAATTCAAAACCGTTTATGAATGTGGGCTTTTTAAACCGCTCCGTTTAAGCCCGCACCGTCAAACCCGCATGCTAAACGGGCGGGTAGCCCGTATACCTAGCTCTAGTGATGCATAGTTAGGACGAAATGACGTGTCTACACTCATATTATAAAACTTAATTAAAATAAAAATATACAAAATGTTAAATTAAATATCACTAGTCTATATTTTATATTTAATAAAAATTAGAGTGGCATTAGGCTGAACTTGGATTCTCAATTTGGAAAATATGAATAGAATTTGCAATACTGAGTGTCGGACCAACGTGCGACAAAACACGGCTTCTTCGCCTATATAGATTTGTATATAGAGTTGTTGGAAAAAATATTTCCCTATATAATTCATTCACCGTATATTTTTTGAATTAAGATTCTTATTAGTTTGAAGACGTCGAATACTTTTGGGGTCTTCTCAATTTGTCTGAAGATACCATGTAGTCGTGAAATCTTCTTTATTTTTCTGAAGACGCCATGCAGTCGTGGAGTCTTCATATTTAACTTGAAGATTTGTGAAACATCTCATGTCTTTAGATTGATATTATTCAATTCATCCTATATAAGGAAATAATCCCCAAATTAAAATATTAAGATTAAAAAATCTCACTTACACTGCCATTTTGCCAACAAAATACAATCAACTCCCTAAATCTATGGACATGTCCTTAATTTTAAATAAGAGATTTGAACATTTTTCTACAATAAAGAAAAGATAGATACAATTATGTCAAATTAATAACTAACCCAATTTGACTAATGGGAAAAGTTGTGATTTTGAGGGGTTTTAGCTTATATTATTAGTTTTCTATATATTAATGATAGTAAAGTTAGGTATCAATAATTTACTTATTAACTTTACTTTTAATTTTTTATTTATCTATAACAAATCATTTAAAATTATGAGAACGAATAATATTTTATCAGATTTAAAAGAAAGAAATATCGTGATGCACATTTAAAGTATCGTCTCAAAATAATTTTTGATGATCGAGAAAATAATATCTTCAGAAACTAATTATATTTTAAATTTATTACTTCATATTAGATTTTAGGAAAATAAATAAATTATTATAAGTGAACAAATAAAAAGTTTATATATAAATGCATTAATATTATTGTATTATTAAGTAATAGATTTATTTTTTATTCAATAATTATATAAAATAAAAATACTTTGTAATAATTCTTAATCTTGTCAACAATAATTTTAATAATTTATCAAAATTAAATAAAATTACAACTTCAAGTTTAAAATCACATAAAATTAACTTTTATATAGAATATTATACAACTAATTACCAAACTTTATATATAATTACTACACTCATCTATTCTAGTAATACAAGATTCATATTTAAAAATTAACGAAAGAGAAAATCTTAGCCATCTTTCTCTCTTTTTTTAACCTAATTTTCTTTTAATAATTCTATGTTGTCTTATTCTTTCTCTTTTATTTTTGTTTATCATGTGACATCACCAATCTTAATGTTGGTTGTTGTCAGTTAGTAATTATTAGTTCTTTTGTTTTCTTATATTATGTCTTTTGTTATTTTTCCTTAAGTTTTTCTAATTTTGAATAAAAATCTCTATCCTTATAACATGTTTTTCTCTATTCTTGTGGTATGTATTTTCTCTATTCTTGTGGCTCACATTTTCTCTGTTCTTGTGGCATGATCCTTATGGTTTTTTATACGTTTTTCGCATACCTTTGCGGTCATTTTTGGTGCTCGCACAAAAACTATCACGACATTTATTTTATAATTGATTTGTCGATGGTCACATATAGTCAGATGATTCACTCTTTGGTAAAAAGTTGTTTATCGATATAATCAAAATTGTGTAGCGAAACAGCCTACTAAATTGTTTGGTTCGCTCACCACTCCTTTATTACTTCGTAAAACGTCTCATTCGACAGAAGCAAGAAATTTTATGAAGGTTGTTGGGTTCTTTTGATGTTGGTAGTCGTTATCAATGGAAGGTTTTGTTTTTGTTTTTCTTTTTAAATTTAATATTTTATTTTTGTATGAATATTTGATGGCTACTGTCTCTAATTTTCTCTCTATATTTTAATACATTGTAATTCCGATTCCTTAAATCCATTATTAAAATAATAATACAAGATCCAATGAAGTGCTCTGTATTCATCCTAATTAATTATTGCAGTGGATGAACGAGAACATGTTTTGCCTAAGCATAGCCCTCAGCCGTTTCATTTTTCTCTTTGGTTTCATCACCACTGTTTGGTTTCATTAAAGATTCCACCGTTTCTTCCACTTGGTCTACCGTGTCTTCTACCTGCATCATCTTTATTTGTTAGTAGCCTCAAATAGAAAAAAATCGCAAGAAATTCGAGATTAACATCCCAATTGAGTATTGGTTCTGATTATAGATGCTATTTAAATTATTTGGATTACGTGATTAAAAGAATCAAGTGCGGAGTGATATCTTCAGAAAAATAAATTAAATACTGATATATGTCAGTCTTTTTGTAACATTTGATGTAGTGTTATACCGTATGATCTTAATTTCAAACACTTAATGTCGGGATTAGCTGTTGCACTTCTTAATATCAACTTTCTTAACGTACTGCTAATAAAGATTTTTTTTATTAAATTAAAGTTATTATAAATTAGTATTTATTCTAAATACTTTCAACTATTTGACAATAAAAGTTCAATCATCCTGGTGTAATCACTGGTGCTCGAACCTTGATCTTTAATAATAATAACAATTCATTTAACCACTAAAGTAAGATGGTTGTGCTACTGTTAATAAAGAATTAAAAACACAAGGAATTAGGTTAATTGCGTAGCAATAAAGAAGACTTTGTCAATGAAGTCTCCGGCTATGCGTGCACCATCAGCTGTTTCATCAGCCAAATCTTCAACAATTTCAAGCGCATCCTTGAGTTTGCCTTCAGGTAAAAGATCGCCAACCTCATCCGCAACTTTCTCCACTTGCTCCGCCAAATTTTCTACTATATCCGCCACGGCTTCCGCCGTGTCTATTACAGTTTCAGCTTCCTCTACAGACAAATATACAACAACATACCTAAAATTAGACTGAAAAGTAATACATGTATATATAAAAATTATGAGGATATTGAGAGGCAGTGCTGACGTTTGAGTTTTAATAATGGTCGCCAGTTGCCTCTCCACATGGGTAGGATTATACTCATCAGAATCCCCAGAAAGGTTTCCTGCAAAACTTAGAAATGAATGTGAGTAAACCTCATTGAAGAAGATCTCTTTTCCCCTCTTAATTTGTAAAACATATATGACTAATATGAGACTAACCAGGAGGCAGGAGCAGAAGGGACTATAGGTCCTGGTTCAACACTAGTGTTGCAGCACACCATGTTCCTATTTCTAACAGTACTTCGCAATATAAGACCTCTTCCTAGAGATTAAACTTGAAGTTTCTTAGAACCTGGTGTTTCCCCTTGTGCTTTGATATCAACAAGAAATGACTGAAACAACAAAGAATGGAAGACCGAGATTTGCAGGATTCTATGGCCATGGGAACCTTGCATTGAAGGTTAAATCCTGAACTAATCCACATAACTTTGGGGAGTACAGCTTCCTTAATGTCTGCGAAAGGGCTTTAGAGAAGAAAAATATGAGTAAAATTCACTCTGAAAAAGAAAAAAAAGAAACTTGGGAACGAGGTTGACGAACTTGCAGGGTTTCTTTAAGGAAATTAATCAATTATATATTAGAGAGCGGAATGGCAGTGTAAGAAGCGTGGAAATCACGTGTTTTTATATTATAGACGACATGGCTGCAGCCTGGATTAGGAAGAAATATAATATGATAATCCTCTTTGAATTTCATCGTATGCTTCACATATCATGTTTTAAATCGTGTGTGTTTGGTTTTTATAAGCACTATTTAAGTTGACTATTTTTACGGTTTCGTCTTCTTTTAGTCATAGTAATTTATTAGGGCAAAAACTAAATAAATAAGTGAAAAAACTTCGGCGTTTGAACTTTAACATGAGACATAGACGACGGCAGTTAAAAATTAAAGTAAAAAAAAGACACTTTATAAAAAATCATGGTATCGTATTATTTTTTCTCTCAATATAGTCATTCAATTCAGAAAAATAAACTCAACGTGATCTTTTGGTTAAAATTTTTCATCGTTGATCGTTACAGTATTGATGTGGCATTTCGCGATATTTATGTGTCGGTCTATGATGTTGATGTGACAATCCATCATGTTTAAGTTATCAATTTAGTCAATTTATCATATCATTAGTCACATTATTAACCATCGTGAATCGTTGTCACGACAACACCGTGAACTACCACATTAGCATAATAATAATCAAAGACGAAAAATATTGGTCAAAATGTCACATTAAGTTTATTTTCTGAGTTGAAAGACCACTTGAAAGAAAAAAATAATACGATGCCATGTTGGTTTTTTATAAAGTGCAAGTACCTCCTATGTTTTTTGCCAAAATTAAACTGCACCTATAGTCACTGGACTTTTAAGATATTTATACTTTTCTCTTTGAAATTGAAAATTTATATTACAATCATTATCGTTAAGAAATAGTTTTAATTTGATCTGTTAACGACAGCTAATTTCACATATATATATATATATATTATAAATAAGATAAATATGTTTTATTAATGAAGATATTCAAACATGTGACTTTTCTAAAGGAATCCAATAGTTAACTACAGCGGTAAGATAATATTTTATAATGGAAAAATAATATCCAATTTAAATTGGGATAACACGAATCGAGCTACTTCGATAGTTAAAGGGATGTTTATTATTCCTAGAGATTCTGAGATCGAACACCAATGATTGCATAGTATTTAAACGTTTATTGTCAAATAGTTGAATCTTTATAACAAATATTATCACTTGTAAATTAGTAATCACCCTTATATTAATAAAAAATATAATTAAAATTAATTATATTTATTTTATAGAAATATATTTATAATATAAATTAATCTATATCTAAGAATTTATCCAACTTGTATCAAAATAAAATTTAATAAAATCATAATCTTATTTGGGAAATGGTTTAATATACGAGTTATGTAAGATTTAACCTCTGCAACCCTCTCTATTTAACTCTAAACCTTGCATGCCAAAGCTGTAAAACCTAAATATTGATTACACCAACCTTTAAACTTCAAACCCCGAAACTCTAAATGATAAATAAAACAAATAACATTCAAAGAGATGAAGTTATAGAATCTAAAATTTACAAAATCGAATATTTTATTTTAAGTTGTTTTAAGAAAATTACATTTTTGTCTTAGTTCGTTGTCACCCTCATTCTTTAAAATATTTTTTTTTCAATTTATTTCACTATTTGATATAAATTGTAATTATTGTTTAATTTTTATTTCACTATTTGTTAGGCAAGGAGACCCTTTGTCTCCTTATCTATTTGTACTGGTCATGAATGTACTTTCTAGATTATTGGATGTTGCAGCTAGGTGTGGTATTTTCAAATATCACCCTAGATGTAAAAGGATTTCCCTCACCCATTTATGCTTTGCTGATGATTTGTTGTTGTTCTGTTATGGATCTTTGGATTCAGTGTTGGGGGTTGTTAGTGTTTTGAATAAATTTTATGAGTTGTCTGGTTTAATGCTCAATGCTTCAAAGACGGATATGTATGCTTGTGGGGTTAATGATGGAGTTTTGGAGCAGATTAAGAGGGCCACGGGGTTTCGAATCGGTCAGCTCCCTGTCAGATATTTGGGGGTTCCCTTAGTAACTCGCAAGCTCTTAAAGACATATTGTTATGCCCTTATGGAGAAAATTAGGGACAAACTGAGGAAGTGGTCGAGTAAGAGACTAAGCTTTGGGGGCAGGCTGCAGCTTATTAAAGTAGTATTGTTTAGCATCTTTAATTACTGGAGCATACAACTTATACTGCCAAAGGGTATGCTTCAGGATATTGAACGGTTGTGCATGCGCTTCTTTTGGAAATGAAATGATTCCTCGGCTAGAGGTGCCAGAGTCAGTTGGACTCAAATCTGTTCCCTAAAATCGAAGGGGGGCTTAGGACTTCGAAGTTTGATTAGTTGGAATAAGACATGGAGTCTTATGCTTGCTAAGAGCATCTTAGCTGATGAGGGCTCTTTGTGGATCGCATGGATCAAAGCTTATTGCTTCAAGCATGAGAATTACTGAGTGTTGATAATAAACCTCACTTCAGTTGGATTCTCAAAAAACTGATTAAGATGCGAGAGGAGGCTAGTGTTCTTTTTTGCTGCCCCTGTAAGTAGGTCACAGGTTAAAGACGGGTGGATATGGGAAAGGATTCGGGACAGAGGGGAAAAGGTTGATTGGCATCGCTTAATTTGGTTTCCTTCTCATGTTCCAAAGTTTTCCTTGATCACGTGGATGGCTATCCTCGACAGGTTGTCCACCAAGTACAGGTTAATTCGGTTTGGAATGGTGGCAGATCCTGGTTGTAGGTTGTGTATGAGTGGGTTTGAATCTAGGAATCATCTGTTTTGAGACTACAGTTATTCAAGAGCTATTTGGGATTCTCTCTTGCGTGCTTGTGGGCTACAATTACAAGGACTTAGCTGGGAGAACCAACTTGGTTGGATGATTAATAACTGGAAAGGCAAGTCCTTGCTGATTCATGTTCTCAAATTAGCATGGACTGGATTCGTCTATTTTACATGGGAGAAGCGGAATCATCTTATCTTTAGAGATTTGTCGCGTTCGACGGATTCAATTGTAAATATCATAAAAGGGATAGTTAGGATTAAATTGTATAGGCATAGAATGAATAGAGTGGATAATGTAAATAGGCAACTTTGTGTTGACTGGGGACTTACATAGCTGGTTGTAACTGCGTTTTTTTGTAGCAGTTAACTGCTTTCTTTGGATAAATAAATTTGATTATTCAAAAAAAAAAATTCAAGATTCATAAAGTAGAAATCAAAACTTCATTTGATTCGATTGTTTCATACCATGCCTCTAATTTCATCATGAAAATATTTTATCATTATCCATGAAGAAAAGTAGTTTCAGTCACCGGACTTGTTTGATTAGAAAATCCTTCATAACAAAGCACGTTCAAGAAACATCTCATCTAATCAAAATGGGTTTTAACACTTCATTCTTATACAATTAGGCTGAAACAATTTCCTATTTTCGGGCCAAGTCGAAATCGTTTCTCAACTAGATTAAAGCAGTATATAATCTTCAGCTTCACAATTTCTTCTAATTTAATTTTTTTTATTTAGCTTAATATACAGATTAAATTGTGAAAGGTACCAAGCTGAAGGACTGAATTGTAGTTTATCCCTTTTCAGGTCTTACATAGTTACATGTTTGTCATTAGACTTGAGGTTAATTAAGAACAAAACATAAGATTAAGAAATAAAAAAAATGTTAGCAGATATGAAGTCCATCGCACTCGACAAATACACGGTATCCCCTAACTATGACCTTAGGGCAACCTCGCCGGAGGTGTAGTTAAAAAGTTCTTAAAATCCACTTAATCTAAAATATAATATTACCATCATGATTTGGAAATGCTACCAACAATGGGTAATATTGGGGAAGATTTTGTCCATCACGATAAAATGTCCTAATCTCGATGTTTACTAACATGGTAAACTAAGGTTTAATTCTTCTTTCAGTCCATATACTCTTTGATCTTTTACAATTTAGTTCAACTACTTTTATTTTAACAAGTTTTATGCTTCTAGTCTGATTTATCCAATTGATGAATTTCAGTTACACTTGGATATGCGGTTTTTAGATGTTATAAACATATTCCATACATATAAATCTTACTAAACCTTGAAAGAGACGTGCTATCTGATTTTCTTCATTTCTTCTCTTCAAATCCAAACAAAAAGAAATTGAAGTTTAGAGGTTCATTTGTTTCATCTCTTCCTTCAATTATCTCTTCATATAGCAATGAAAAGCAGAAGACTTTTTCCGGCCGTAACTGAAACAAACGATACCGTAGACTGCCCTGATTTCTGTGACCCTGCATGCCCTTACAACTGCTACCCTTACCCCGACTATTATTACCTACCGCCGCCGCCGCCACCTCCTTCCTTCTTGGTCGAAAACCATTACATCTCACCTTATTTGATCATATTTGTTTCCATACTCGCCAGTGTCATCCTTCTCGTTGGCTACTACGTCGTTATAGTGAAATCATGTTTTGGTTGGTGCAGCTGGAGGAATAACATGCAATCGCGAACTCAACATAATGCTTCCGATGAAGAGTTCATCGATGAGAATCAAGTCGATCATCCTATTTGGTTCATCACCACCGTCGGTTTGCACCAATCGATCATAAATTCGATCACTGTTTGTAAGCACAAGAAGGATGAGGGATTGATCGAAGGTACGGAGTGTTCAGTGTGCTTGAATGAGTTCGAAGAAGATGAGACGGTGAGGTTGTTGCCTAAATGCAACCATGCTTTTCACATTTCGTGTATTGATACTTGGCTGAGGGCTCACGTTAATTGTCCCTTGTGCCGAGCACATATCGTCTTTGATGCGCTGTGTAGCTCTGCAACTCCGGTGGATCAAAATCTTGCGGATGCGGATGTGATTGTTGATAACCAGATAGAAAATTCTGAGAATATAGGGATTGAAGCTGATGAAAACGGGGCTGAAAGAGATTTGACAGAGGCTAATGACCAAAGGGTTTCAAAGGAAGGTATCCATTACGAAGAAAATGGCGCTTTGGTAGTCGGTGATTGCATTGAAAGAAGTCATGTTGAGGCTGAAGAGATAACACAAATCAAAAGGTGCACTTGCATGGATTCTTCTTCGTCAGCTGCAAGTTTGTTTTTGGGCTTTCAGGGGGATGTGGAAAACCCGGATTCGAGCATCGGTGCAACCAAAGACAAGGTATCGGCAAATTCTTCCATTTCTCAGCATCTTCATTTAAGCCCTGTTCCGATGAAAAGATCATTCTCATGTGGGGGAAGTTTTCTATCCTCATCCAAACGTTACCGGAGCATGAACTCAATTCTTACGATGTAAAGCATTTTGTACTTTTTTAGATATAGTTTTGGGATTAGAGAGTGCGATATTTGTTGAAAACAGAGAAATTGTATGCATGGAAGCTGAAGCCTTATGATGCTAATTGCTAAGCTGCGACGTAAGAGATGAATTATGAAGACAAAATTGTGTTTCAAAAGAAAAAAAAATTCATGTCAGTGCGAGAACACTTTCGATGTTAAGATGGATGTGAATAGTTCAATCATCGATGTTCATTGTATGTAAAATCAATACTCTAGTCCAGCAATATTTTTATTACTCTAGTTTTTCAAATTAAGAAGAGATTATAATCTATGGGGTTGGTATAGGCTGCCAAAAACACTCAAAAAGCTTGGGCAAATTTAGGTGGCTTGGGTTTTCCTCAAAACCTAATCTACATGTTCTTTACTCCGAAGATGATAATCTGAGCTTATATACCTATAACTACGATTGACAAATCTGAACGGTGGCTTCTTCAACCATACATGAATTGATACCCAAACTGATCGAAAGGCCTCTCAGCCTTATGCCCGGTTCTTTGAGCCAGAGAATGTTGTAACCCAACCATGTTAAATTTATCTGATTCCGGTCGCTCGGTAGCGGGACAATAACAATTACGAAATAGCATTTTTTTTAATAGAAGCCACTGGTTTTTGTTAAAAAATAAAAATATTCAAATTTATAACAAGGTTTATAACTATCATCCCAAATTAAATATATAATTTGGACATTTTCTTATAACATTAAAACTAATCAATTTAGATCATATAAGGAGTATCCATGGAAAAAGTTAAAAACTAACAAAAAAAAAGAGATTAAATTATTGAAAGATCACAGAGAACCACAAATTAGAACTGAGCATCGTGAAAAGCTATCAACGAACAGAAAACAGCGTATCCAAATTCAATCCAAGGGTCCATAACAGGGAAGATCGACGAGATTATAAATAAGGGGTCTCTTGATCAGTCATGACGTCATCAAATCCAATCCTGAAAAAACATAAAATAAAGGAAACGATCAAATAACCGAGAAAGAAAGCGAAAAACGTGTCACAAAGGTAGAGATAAACGTGTTGCAAAGATAAAATTATTCTTATTAAAAAACTATGAAAGAAACAAAGAGAAAAAAAAGACGACGTCGACAACAAACATCAAAATCGGTGTCACCGCCGGCTAAACAAAATAAAAAAAATGATTTGTATATAATATATTTTAAATTTTTTTATATTATAAGCTAATGAGTCTTTGGTTCTATTGACAAAGAGGTCTTCAGACTTTGATTGTTCATATTCGAATTTTATTAAATTTAAATTTACACGTATTTGTTTTTTATGTAATTATTTTTTATGATTTAATTCTTGTAATATATGATTTTTGATTTTTAAGATTTATTAATTTGTCCATTTATATTTTATGATTAATTATAGTCATAATTAAATATATACATATTAATTGTAAAAATAATATCATTTGTACAGTGATTTAGCTTATTGCTCCTCCTTTGTGTCTATCTTACTTGAACGAGTCGTGGCAGCTTAAATGTCCCAATTTGAACTCCAACCTACTTCACCCCACCAGGAAACTCCCGTGGAATTTAATATTTACAGCGCTCTTTGGAAAATACGGAATAATTGCAATGGTCAAGTCTTCAACAACCGTTTTTCATCAGATCCTTCGATGATCGATGCATTGTTGCGTTGACTAAGCGTTACGCTTTTGGGATGGATCCAATGGTAACCTCCTGAGCATGGGGAGTTTTGTATCAATGCTGATGGTGCGGTTTCTAATGAATCGTGTATTGCCTCAGTTAGTGCTCTTATCCGTGACTATAACGGGAACTGAATTGAGAATCATTGATGTCTTACAATCCGAATTATGGACAATTCATAACGGTTTATGTCTTGCATGGTCGAATGGATTTAAAATCTTATAGGTTTAGTCGGACTATTCCTAGGACATACAATTGTTTTGCGACAAAGATGCTAGAACACCATCACTTTCTTTAGTTCGAGCCATTGACAATTTCTGCCATCGAGGATGGATGATTGACTTTCGATGGATTTCACATGATGATAATTGGTCAGTTAATAAATTAGCGATGCTCTCGGACCCCTTGATTTCTTCTACAACAGTTCTCATGGACCCTCCCATTGGAGTTCAGTCTCTTCTAGGTGATAAATTTGGTCCCCCATATTGTAAGTCTATCTAGGCGCAACCTTCCGTATGACTTACGATTCAAACAAAAAAAATACTATTACCCTATAAATTACACATTTTATACCGAGTTGTCTATTAAAATATTTTTTTAGACGTTTTACTCTTTAAAATTTAAACCAATTATCGTATTTACTCCCGTCTATTAACTCTATTAAAAAATTTGGTAAACGTGATAACATGTCATGTCACACTTAATTTTACTTTAATTTTCTTTTTTTAATCTCAAAATATGTTTAAAGGTACATAAATAATAATATTTTAATTAACCAAATAAAATTGAAATAGACAAGGTAATGAGCAGATTTTGCACATCCGACTGAAATTCTACAACATAGCCGACTGTAGTTAAGGCTTGCGATTGTATTTTACATACATCTCTTGGCCCAAAGAGTAATTGCGGAGCATCTTCTACTTTTACACCATCATTTCCCTTCAGATCTGGACCATGAATCAAAATTAAGCAATGCCAACGGGGAGAGAAAACCTAATAAGTTCAACACAAAAGACAAACACTTGGATCCATACTGAAAAAAAGAAAAAAATTGTGGATCCTAGCAAGATCCTTTGTTTGCAGATATAGATTCATGGAGTTGTCATCGTCTTTGGGTTTGACTTCAACGTTTCAGCGGTGTCTGTTGCCCAAATTATGCAATTTATAATGATATCTACTTACTGACAACCGTGCATTGCCTTGGATTATTGTTTGTTTCAACTCCCCCGAACACACACACTTATAATTTAAAACTAAAATCTCAAAGATCTCCTCATATCTTTTTCCAGTTCAACATAATCGTTTGTACGTATTTCTCAAGAAAAACAAAAAAACACCAGTTGAAACATATTTATTTTTCAAATGGCTAGTGTATATACTCTTATACTCACGAGGCCAACCGATCAATCGGTGCCACACCGGTGCAGTCAAACTCCCTTTGTTCTTTTGGTTGGATTACCAAAAAGTAGGGAGTCAAACACTATCCTTATATTCGATACGGGATGATTTCTTTAAAATTCCGTTTCCTTTTAATCATTGATTTGTTCAAAATCCAACAGTCGTCATTGATAATATTTAAAAAATAAATTAGCATGAGTCCCAAGAACAAGACGCTGGACAATGGTGGCATCGTAATGCTTTTACTGCTGAAGCTAAAAAGTTGGTCAAATAGTTTCGATACTTATGATGATGATATTGGTAGCATTTTCAGTAGCTATCCTCGTTTATTAATGATGACAAGCCTGGAAATGACAAAAGATGGGAGGAATATATAGTACTCGCCTCCATCATGATGGTGTTATTATTGCATATTCAAAGTCGCAATGATTAATTTCGAGTTGCAATCATTTCTTTAAAGAAACTTCTTCGATCTTTCCTGGAACTCTATCCTTGGATATAGGTGATATAAGAATCTCCTGTCACTCTAAAGGTTTTTGACAACCCTCTTTTCCTTGAATCTTCCTCTTTCATCCTTTTTACCTTTCAATTAATACTATCACAATCATTAATAATAATGAAGAAAGTCACAAACTGTGATCTAACGTAGGAAATAAATCCAACAATTATTTAGTGCTAATTTATAGCTGTATGTATTACTGATTCAAAAATAATGGGGAATATGCCGGATTCCTATCTATGTTTGACATGCATCTAATTAATGTGATTTGCAGGGCTCTCATGGGCCATCTGAAAACTTTACCATCAATCAAATGATAGTTATAAACTTGGCTGTTTATGAAGGTCTTTTAATGCTACACCTAGGTTAGCTGCCCTTTATTTTCCCTAAAGTGACGACAAAAATCTGATGAATCTTCCTGATTAATGATTTTTCAAATTAAGATGAGCAATATATCACTTTGGCCTTTCCCCTTTCATATCATTCATGTTTATTTCAACATTCCGTCCATTGCATTTGTGGTACTTTAGGCGTATGGTTTCCAGATCATGGCCACATCCAATATTAAATTAGTGTTGTTCAGTCCTTATCCCAAAAATAGAAGAAACATAAAAGAGAAGGCAACATTCTATGGGCTGCAAAAAGTGATCTCCTTTACTTGTTTTACACAATTTAATCACAAAGGAGACAATACTCCAGAATATTATAATATAGTGGCGGAAGGTAATCATCAAAAACAGTTTGAGGCACCTACTCATATTTTAAAAGTTTGTAAAGCTTTAGTTTAGATTTAGAATGCCAACACTATTGAGTTATGAGCGCATTGATAAATCATATATATATATACGTAAAGATTTAAAGATGAAATTATTGGAACAAGCAATCATGAATTCAAATATGGATAGTAAACAAGTATTACCGGGGGGGGGGGGAACGAAAGTGAACAAAAGGGAGTAGAGGTTTCGTATAAAAATGGAAAAGCATTGTGATTGCCAAGGAAACAGCATATATATATATATATATATATATACTATTGGGAGAAAAGGGAAAGCATTTATTCTTTCTGTTATTTCCAGGAAGGAGCAGGGGAATGGGTTACACTGTAACAGTATTTTCATCATTTCAGTACTAAAAGATAGTAATTTTTCGGTGCAATTTGCACGAAGCCAATACATGAAGGGGTACAGGTAATATATCCCAGCTTTTGGCTATACAAAATAAGTTAATCTTGTCAAAAGAAGCCCGCCGGAAGATATGGGCGTCTCAAGTGTCTTCATTATATGATCCTTTTATTTTTATGAGACGCGAAGTAACAGGATTATGTCTATTTCTCTTTCTGTAGCTGATGGGGCACAATTCTATGGCGAACTCGTTTTTCTTTACTAAAATAATAAGACATATAATTTCATTTATCCATGCCTCCATTTGCGGGCCGAATTACATTAGGGAGAATATTGTACTCACGACTCTGTATGTATCCAAAATACATGGAGGAATATATTTAAAGTTGCATGCTTGCTAGAAATTAGATAACAAACAACAATGGAGTCCCTTCCTCATCAGTTACAGCAGGACGAGAAAAAAAACTTGGGCTTTTAAACGTCTCGGTTCTCTCATCTAAAAGCCGCTTCTTCTTGGATTCTTCGCAGCATTTGATTAACTGCAGCGGCAATTTCATCCACAGTGTTCAGATGGCACCCTTCCTCAACCTATGCAGATTAACAATAAAAAGAAAAAAACAATTATAATTTAAGATGGTGATGAAATTGGAGAGCTTTTTTTTTTGTTAAATGATGGGTTGGTTTTGTTCTTATTACCTTGACGCTAATTGAATACAAGGCCGTTTCATCGACGGTCGAGACATTGAGGTGGAGGATGGTGAGGCTTAGGCTTTGCAACCCGGCAACCAGTTTCAGGAGTTGTCTGGGTCGTTTCTTCGAGAGTATCTTGAGGTTGGCATGTGTCTCCACCATGGTCACTTCGATATCCGCCACGCTTTCGACAGAAGCGGCGGCGGCCATGGACGACGGTGAATTGTTGCACTGTGAATTTGAACGAGTTGAGAATTGTGGAAAGGTGAAAAACTCGGCGAAGGGTGAAAGGTTGCCGTTGTGTTCTGGCTCTTGAGTGGTCCTCTTATGAGCCTCCATGGTCTGCAAGAGCTGCTCTAATTCCTTCACGAAATTAATCGCCCCGCCAATTATGGAAGCTTGATCACCCTGAAAATGGCTAATGAATATATTAGTTACTATTTTTTGTTGACTGATAAAGAAAGATAAGTAGCTGACCTATTCTGCAAATCTAAATGGTTTCCATGATTCATGAAAGTCAGGAATTTCTTAACTTCTTCAGCTAGTGCCTTTTACGGGTCATAAACAAAAATGGTTATATTAAGTTAATAAGCGAGGTGGTTTATTAGGGTTATGTGAACTTGTTTTAAAGGTTAATACTCTTTTATTAATTGAAATTATCAAACAAAAAGTGGGAGAGAGATAAATCTGACCCTTTGAACATAAGAAGGTGGCATCAAAGCTCTAATTGCAGCCAGGTACTCATTCATTTGTTTCCGGCGATTGCGTTCAACAGCGATATGAGTCATTCTCTGGTTCTCCAGCTCGTCTTTGTTCTTGCTGCTCCTGGTGCGACGACGTTTTCGTCTAGTACCATTGGTCGCCGTTGTTGTTGCACTGTAAGCTGGTTGAGGTTCCGTCGTCGGAGCTTGGAAACCATCAGCTTCAAGGGCGGGGAGAGGCTGATCGGCAGTGCAAGCTTCGGATGAAGAAGAGTAAGGATCCCATAGTTCATTTACATGTTGTTGCATGACTGAAGTAGACGAGGAGTCCCAATTTGCTTGGAGATGATGATGATTCTCTTGTTGTTCTAAATTGCTTTCAAGAATCGCAGTAAGAGCTCCATCTTCTTCTTGGAAGCAAAAATCATAATCCCAAGCCCCTCCTCCGGGAAACTGATCCTTGAAACCATAGGTAAATGGATCTGGAGGGTAAACCACTGTTTCTAATGCCATGGTCTGCAAGAACCCAGATCCTTATCACACTTGCAATAATCTGTTTTTTGTTTCCTTGTCTCTCACACACAAAGGGACGCTGTTGTCTAGTCTCTCTTTTTTTTCTAAAAGGAAAGACAATGGATCAATGAAGAGACTAAAAGGGAATATTTTTGTGATTACAAGAGCTGAAATCTGAGAGAGGGAAAGAGAAGTGTTCCCTAGTAGAAAGCAAGCCAAAATGAGAGAAAGAAAGAAGAGGCCAAAGCACAACACATCCAAAAGACCAAACGAGGTCCCCCTTTTATCTTCTCTTCCCCCATGAAAGGAAGTTTATCAACTTTTTAAAGATGTTGAATCCTTAAAAAAAAAACTACAAAAGCTACAGCATGCTACACGTGAGATTGCATTGCACACAAGTTGCTGGACCAGAGACAGATTCTCTATGGCAGTTGGAGAGAGGCCAATGTTGATAATGGAAAATGAAAATCCTTTAATTTTCTTCCTTCAAAAGAATTGTCGATTTTTCCATCTTATAAAAAGAATAATATTAATTGTGTTCTACTCTTTGTATTCGACTATATGGATGTACAAATATAATATTAAATGTTAATATATTTTATTATAAATGTTAATATATGACGTTATATATACGATTATACCGGTAATAATAAAATATCTTATAAATAATATTTTTTTAATGACATAATAAAATAAGTATTTATTTTTAATTTATCTAATATAATCACTATCAATGTTTCGTTTTATATCAATCTTCTTGCCAACAACTAATATTGTTTGGAGTCTTGAGGTTTTTGTTTTCGGTGATAATAAAAAAAAAGTAAATAGTAAATTAAAGCAAATCACAAATTATTCATCCAAATAAATAGAGAAGAACACATTGGGGAAGTGATGCTTTCGGCTGTTGAATCCTTGAAATGTCTGATGACTGTTTTCTTCAACTAAATTTGATCTGTTTTTATAAAATATTGTATTGAAACTGAACTAATCTCATGTTTTTCAATAAAAAGAAAATAAGGTCAGAACGTTAAGGGGTACTACTAGTGCCGGTGGATCCAAACTCCAAATTAAGGGTACATCTAATATCGTGAAAAAGGGTATCAAATTTTGTCTGTCCCTGCCCAACACCATTAAATTAATAACTAAAAGAAACCTCGACAGTGACAAGGTTATTTTTTTCTGTCCATTTTCCAGGCTGGACATCCAATATAATAAAAATAACAATAATTAATTAAAAGGAAGGGTTGTTTGGTGTTTGGACTAATTCGGAATAGCCTCGTAATCAACTTTTATGTAGAATGTCCAAACGAAACAGAGGTGCCTAATTAGATACGAGTATGGTTCTCATAAGATAATAATGCTGTCGGACACTTGGACATTAAACTGAGAAACATGACAAAAACCTGATGATAAACCAGAGATTCTCTCATGAAATATCTATTAGAGAAAAGAAAGCAAGGAAATAAAATGAGAAAAACAGGCTAAACAGCTTAGTTTCTTCTTCTTCTTCTTTTTTCCTTCATAAAATTATTATTCTCTATTGTATTTCAGGTGTCTGGTAAATGTCAAGGAATCCATCTGACCATTCAAAGAGCCACTCTATGATCATCTCAGACCAAGACTGTGCTTCTCCTCCGCCCTCTCTCTTCCCCAAAAATTCTGTACTTCCAAATTCTTTAGTTTTCAATTTTAAGCTTATTCTATGATATTTTATGAAAATAATTATATGAATTGGAAAGAAAAATCAAGTATGTTTCATAAAATAGTTATAGTTAACGCTGCGATATCTCTTCATGTCTCGTGTTCGAGTATGATATTTGTAGGGATGTATAAATGTGTTTATTATCAAATAATTGAGAGTCTATCGAACATATATTACATTGTATTCATCTCAACTTAGGGATTAATATGGGACCCTAACCCGACGGATTCCGACCCGACTCTATCTGGTCGGATTTTTTTATAAAAAAAATTGGGTATTGGTGTGATTGAGTCGGGTTCGGGTTTAGGATGAAAAATATCATACTTGACTCGTAAAAAATGTAATTTTATCTTATACATTTAGGAATAATTGCAATAACACTCCTCTATATGTTTTTTTTAATTAAGTCCTATTTTTTATTGAATAAAAGTAATATTTTGTTATAAATATATTTGTTGAGTTAATATCGACGAATCGGTCAAGAGGGGGCAAATTGGCAATAAAAATTTCGGAGGAAGCTTTTGCAGAAAATTGAAAAAGATTGCACAACAATTTAGAGTGGTTCAACTTCTCAACCAAGTCTACGTCCACTACCTTAGCTATCCACACTAAAGATTTTCCACAAAATCACTAATTTGTCTTTCTTTTGAGGACAAAGAGTAATCTTACAACTCCCTCAAGAATTATACCCCAAATTCTTGAGAACACTCTCTCCTAAAGAGAAAATTACAAATTTCACAAACTTACAGAAAACCCCACAAGGCAAGATGTTTGCAAAATTCTAGAACAAAGAAAGAACACTCAAGAATGAATACAATTGAGCACAAATGGTGTTCTTGAAAGTAAAATAAAAATTGAATGAAAATAGGCTTGAAAATGCTCAAACGATAAGCTCAAGGCTTTCTTTTTTATTCTCTCTCAATTCTTGTTTCTAGTTATTGATCAATGACTCCTGAGCTCTGAACGTTGGGGATCATTGGTGAAGTCAATAGAGTCGTTATGGTGTAATTATCATTTAAAAATTCTGTTGGGAGCTTGGGTGTATTGGTACACTATGTGTAAAATTTAAATATTTCGACCGTTAGTTAACCTAGTGTATCGGTACACTAATTACATTCGATGTTTCTTGGAGCCAAGGGTGTATCGGTACATCATCTAGTGTATCGATACACAAAATGCATTCGATGTTGGGGGTGTATCGATACATCAAAAAGTGTATTAGTACCTCCCTTTGCAAAAATCATTTTTGGCCCGATTAAGGTTCGAAATACTTTGTAAAAATTGTTTCAAAAATATTTTAAGATTCATATACAATTTTACACTTAAGTAAGGATTGAAATTGTCATTTGAAAACTTGGAGTAATATTTTTGATATTCGAATAATTTAATCGAATATTTGAAATCAGATATAAAATCTTAAAATCATTTATACTCTATTTGTTATATTGAAACATCAAAATGTTTTCAACAATCTCCCCCTTTTTTATATAACAAAACATTAAGTAATTTTAAGATTTTCTTTGAAAATCATTTTTGAAATCATTTTTGAAAATTACTTCCCCTTACTTTATTCTCCCCTTTTTGTTAAATCAAAAAGACTTTATAAAACGGTTTTAAACAAGTTTGTAAGAAAATAGCCAATTGATTTAAATATAGATATAGTTTAAGCTGCTAAGATCACAATCAAGAGAAAGATTAGCCATTAGTACATAATCAATATTCATATAAAAATGTGTAATGGTAATTCGTCATTTTTAACTAAGATGTATATGATGCAAAATTTTAACATGTAAAATAATATTCAACAAACCAAATTCAAACAATTTAAAGCCAAATAACCATATATATATAAACATCCAAGTTTAATCATCCAAACATCCATAACACAAAAATCCAAAAACATCCAAAATGTTTTAACAATTAAGTTCTAAATCAACCTAAGAAAACAAAGCAAAAAAAAGGTCTAATCATCCATTGGTGGATCGGGAGGTGATAGATGTGCCCATATGTTAGCCACGTCTCTTGTAAGCGCGTCGACCCTTTCGTCCATAGCATCGAATCGATGATTCATCGCTTCGTTGTTAACAGTTAAATCGGACTCGATGGATGCAAGCCTTATGTCAAAAGTTTCCATAAACGATCGAAAGTATGGAGGCATCTGACTCTCTTGTTGTACCGGCTCGTCCTCGGGTGTGTGATCATCTATATCGCGCATGAGTTCTTCAAGCTCTGAATCATTGTCCGTCCGTACGCCGAGGAGCTCGTGAAAAGCTAGCACCCATGTTTTCTCGGTGGATCAAACCCATTGATCCTTTTCCCCGGACCATCCCGATTTCTTCAAGGTTGTGAAATTTATTTAGTTCTTAAGGGGGATGGCTACATCAAACGAGACCCTAAGATTGGATTTGATAAACAAATTGATAAGAAGACAACCATAAACTAAGGTTTCAACATGTTTGGACGGGACATTGTTCACGGTTTCTACTAGCTCGCCAAAAATGATTTGTGGCAAATTTATTTTCTTTTCATGTTGGATACAATGTATCCACCATAAATCTAAAACTCTAAGGGTAGAGTACCTACCTCGGATGGTCTAAACCACCAAGATATGATCAAATGAAGAAATCGTTCGTGGTGAGTTATCAAGGTACTTGCACTAGCCTTAGCTTTATAAGGTGTAGCCATAATTTCTTTTTCGTTATCTAAACTCACGTTATCCAACCCAAAGGTGTTAGCGATTGTGTCGGAGTCAATATAAACGAATTAACTTAAAAGATATGATCGAATCCCTACAGTAGCAGTTCGAGACTCATTTTCGACACAAACCGCATTGGAATAGAAAATGCGGACTAGTTGGTGATAAACGATAGGTTTGAGCTGAAACAGTTTATCAAATTTCCAATTGCGAAGAGTAGGAAGATATTCAAATTTCATATCAACCATTGCTTGGATAGAGGGAATACACTCTTCCTGGATTTTATATGACTGAAATAAATTAACATACCTATGGTAGAGATTTTCTCTACGATCAGGTTGGTTAAAAAAGAATTTAAGATATCATTTCTGGTTCGTTTGGATTTGGATTTGGATTAGGAGAAGGAATAGGAGGTCAGTTTTGAGGTTGGTTTGAAGACCGACTAGAAGATGACCTAGGGAGTTTTGATTGAGACATAGTTAAAGATCAGAATGGGATAAAGGAATACCTGCAATTTGAAAACACATGTATGTAATACAATCAATCCCCAAACTCAATATGAGTCCACAGTATTCAAGGTTTTCTAAAATAATCCTAATGGGCAAATTTGAAAACTATTTTTGAAAACAATGTTTGAAAATTATATGTAGTTTTTAAAACAACATAATTAAATCAAAAACATCAAATTTTAAAATAAAATATTTTTTTATTTTAAAATTAATTTTTTTGACAAATTTTGTGTTTTTGATGAAATTAGTTGTGGAAACTAGTTTAGAAACATAATATTAGTAATGTCCAATATATAATTCAACCTAGAACTAATTAAAACTAGTCCTAAGTTTAAAAATTAATAAATAGTGTTTTAGAAAATT